TCATTTCAGAAAACGAAGTAATAAAACTCTGATACTCGAATTTCAACGAAAAAAAGAAATTCTTGAAGTTATACTCGATTTTCAGCGCAAGAGAAAAAGAAAACTTCACCAATTGAAGCTGACGAAGGCGAAGGGGAAGCTGGTGGCAGAACGGACGAAGGCAAACGAAATCAAGGGTCTTTTTCATTAACAACTGTATAAAAGATATCGCTGGCGGAGGGCGGCGACTGGAGTCAATGACGGAGGCAGGCGGAGGCCATCGACAACTTTGTCTATAGCAGAGGGAGCACCTATGCAGCCGATTGTTGCAGACAAGATCGAATGGTAGGAGAAAGGGTTGATGATCGATGGAGTAGAAAGAAAAAAAAAAGACGCAGATGAAAAGCGTGTCTTTTTTTTTGTTAGGGTACAACTGTCCAAAGTTTCATTCAACCCGTAAATACATGGTTTTGGGCTTTGTGAGAAAGACATATCTTACCGAGAAAGACCAATTTTTTATGCAAATCAAACAGTTTTTCCGGCCTATTCAACCATAAATATTTGTTTGGACTTGGAAAGATGTCTATCAAATGAGTCCTTATTCTTTTTAACTTGTTTAGAGACCAAAACCGAAACAAATTTGAAACATAAGGATCGGATTGTCTGAGTTAAAAAAAAGTATTAGGGACCAAGCACACAGACCACCCCAAACCACAGGGACCATTCGTTTAATTTACCCAAAAAGTTATTATGTTTTTCTAATTTTTACGGTTTAATCATAAGATTTTACGTAAGTTAATTGTGACCCCTATTTCAAGTTTAGCAGGTGTTAAGAATGATATGACTTCTTATTTATTTACATGACATCATATTTATATACTAAAATAACGTCTAACTTTCTAAAATGGCTTCTAATTACCTACATGGTATGTGTATAATTTACTAAAACTACAAATAAGAAAGCATTTTCAAGAAGTAACATGCTATTTAATGAAGTACATATGACGTCATGTACGTAAATGGGAAAAGAAAAATCAAATATCTTCCTTCCTTTTGTTCATATCTATCTTTCTACTAATTAGATCATTACAAGTATCAAAATCAAACTAATTAGATCATTACAAGTATCAAAATCAAAAAAGAATGTTAAGAGAGAGAATTAATGAATTTCACATATTATTATTTTATAGGAGTAGAAAGATAAGTGGGAACAAAAGATAGAGGATATTTAATTTTTTACCATGTCAACTTCAACACATTTTAAACCTGAACCGGAAATATGGAATCGAGTAAAATGTTCTTTTTAAAATTTCATCGACCGAAATAAAACAGTGGTTAAAGTGCCAAAAAGGCCAAAAAATAATGGCCTTTTATGTATATTACCCTAAACTTTATGGGAAAACATAAACTTATATTATTAAGTTCTGATACACATACATACATGAGTATCAGGGACTGCACACAAAATTGACAGTGTGAGATTGTCCTGCTTTCACAGATTTGTCCTTACAAACATGAATGCACATGGCAGTGCCACACGATTAAAAAAATGTTCCAAAATTTGTCTACTACAATACAATGAATAACTCTAATCCAAACAAGACTTCAGATAATGACGATTTCAGGTCACAGGAGAGTTCTTTTAACTCCTATCTAAAATTTGTGTGATTTTTTTTTTTTTTTATAATCAGAGTAAAGTATCAGGGATAAACATCGATTGTGAGAGAAATACAAAGTCATCAGTCATCAGAGATTCAAAGATGCAACAATATATACATGTTCTATTAATTCGATATTTCAGTACATGAATTCGTGATCACTACTAACTAGTTTATAAAATTCAAAGTATTAGCATCAGTTAACGAAATCGAACACAAAAGCTACTGAAAGGACCTTTCCTTTCGAAATTCGTTACAGATTTAACCATACGTTTATACTGTTAAATAGAATGCAGCGATCATGATGAACGCAATATTTAGAATAAGATCCATTATAAATTTGTAGGTCACATTTACTAACGATATATCATCTACAATCGGAAACTCGGTCTAAAAACAGTAGATTCGATATAAGAACAAAAGGAAATCGTACCTGTTAAACCATTGAAAACGATGAAAAGGTTTGAGATCTGTAATCATGAATCGGTGAAACTTTCCGCCTTCTGAATCGCAACAATTTTGTAACGACGACGGAGATGCTATTTTCGCGGGATGTGCTGTTTTTCCATCTGATTTGAACGATACTCGGTGTTCAATCAGTTGGGCCAGCTCATACTTTATACGTTTATAGTTTAAAAGACCCTTTTTGAAATGGAGCAACTTTCAATGAGCCCAATAGGAGTACACTTTATGTGTTTTAAAATAAATTCCATAAAATATTTTATCATTAAATTCGCTTTTAAAAAGTACTAAAAATTAAACCCAAAGTTAGATCGGGCCGTTGGCGGGCCTAGTTGTTGCTGGTATTTGGATTTGGCATTACTTTATGTTTGCATAACTGGATTTTTAATAATAACTTTTTGAAATTTGCATAGTTTTATTTTTTTTATTCTAATACTAAATAGTTAGTTTTGAATAATCAACTTTAAAGTTTAAATTAATAATAACGAAGTTGAAGGTCTGAGAAACAAAACATAATTACCTAAGTTGCCTGATTATTTACAAAATTTTAGAGTTACCTCTATTTCAAAAAAATAAATTCAAATATGATCATTTTCACAAAGAATTACATTTTAATTAGTCTATTTAGTAGATAGTTTATATATTCCAAATATGCCAAATACTTCAACATTTATCATATCACTTTCAAAAAATAAACATAAACACCTTTTAGTTAAAGTTCAACTTAATATTTGACATTTTCATTATGTCTACAGCTTGTCTTCATTTGAAAGAACTATTTTTGTATTTGTAACTTTTTATTTACTTTTCCGACAAATATCAGTACAATTTCACTTTTTAACCATCACTCGTTTCATTATATAATTAATTTCCAACGGAGGAATAGTAAAAGTTTTATGTTTTAGACTTTTGTCATATTTGTTTGCATGTTTTGACAGTTTTAGTACTTAAAATAATAATTTTTTCTTTTTGTCTTTTTGCCCCAGTATTTATAAACTTTCAACTGCATGACGTCTTTTCCATTTTTTTTTACCTCATGGTCATCTACTTTTAGCCACTTTTGCTCACATTTCTTTATATGGTTTGACAATTTTAGTCTCTAAAATAAAATAAAAAAAATTTCTTATTTTCCTTTTTACCCGGATGTTTTAGAAAACAACCAATAATTAGCAAAAATACAAGTCATCAATCATAAAACTTGTATGTTAGAGTTTCCCGACACACTAAACTGCTTCAAAACACCAATGTAGTGTGAGGGTTTTTACTAGTTAAAATTAAGATGATAATTCAACGATGTTTTTAACTTATCTAAGTAAATGAAATACGTAAATTTAACTCAAATGAAAACGTGTCAATATATTTGAAAATCAATACAAATATGTTCAAAGAGAAATTAAATATGTTTGAAATTAAAGCATTTCCATATAATATCTTAATAACTTTTATATATATATATATATATATATATATATATATATATATATATATATATATATATATATATATATATATATATATATATATATATATATATATATATATATATGGAAAAGTGAGTATACCTTACAGCAGGATATAAACTTAGGTACCTAATTGTCAAAACTACGTAGTTTTGTTTAATTATTTTATTTGATGAAAAAGAAAAATGTTATTTCCTGGAAAAAAAAAAAGATACGTTCCAATTTGTTTCCTTATTTTTATGAAAATAGATATCGTATCTTCCTTCTTTTTCGATTGCGGCTGTGATCATCATCGTTTTCAAAAAACGATTACCATACAACTTTGCTGCTTGAAATCGGATTCCTAATAAATCACGAAACAAAAAAGGTTCAAGAATTGAATTGGGATTTTGTCATACAACTACTAATCGATTTTGGGATTGAAGAAACAAAATTTCACAGAATTCGGATTTCAAAGGGTTAATTCAAGAAATCGAATTGAAGAAATTGCTTCATGAAATCGACCTCCTTCAAAAACTGCAAATACTCTGTTTACGGTAAATCTTGAAATTGGATTCCTAGTAAATAAGGATTTGCTTTTTAAAAAAAAAAAAAAAAAAAATTGCCAAGGCTTTGTTGTTTACTGATTTCAGAATTTTAATTTTGGGATTTTGTTTTTCATGTTTTCAGAATTTTAATCTTGGATATTGCTGTTTCCGGACTTTGAAATTTGTTGCTTTGTCTTATTTGTTCGGAGATTTTAGAGCTGGACATTGTTGTATTTTTTGAGCTAGACATTGTTGTTTTTTTAGAGCTGGACATTGTTGGTTGTTCTGTGTTTTCTGAAAGGTAAATATCCAATGTAATTAATTTTTGTATATGCTTCGTTCTCATTGTGATTTTTAAGTACAATGATTCAATCTTTACTAATAGTAAACAAAATGGTGTTAATCTTTTATTTAGAAACATGGATCATGGTCTTGTGTAGGCCATAATGAATTGAAACCGAAGCAAATGATCACGCTATTGAACTACATGTAACTGAAGATATTGACACAAATGATTTCGTAGAAGCAACACGTGAATTTGAAAAAATTAACGATGTTGATGTGAACATTGAGAGTGACGACAATGAAGTTAATGATGAAAGTATATTGGGAAAGGTTTTCGATACCGCGGAAGATGCATATGACTTTTATAATGATTATTCGTTTTTACATGGATTTGGTATACGTAAAAATGACATATTTAAAAGCTTGAAAACAAATGAGCCTTTTCGGAAGATTTATGTATGCAACAAAGAAGGGTTCAAACGGATTAAAAAAACAATTCAAGTGAAAATGAGACAAAACGTCGTAGAGATGTTAGAACCGGATGTGAAGCAAGGCTTCAAATTACAATACAGAAGGATAGGAAATGGCTAGTGGACTTGTTTAACGACACACATAATCATGAATTGAGCATGACACCAACGAAGGTGATGAAGCATCGATCTCATAATAAGTTTCACCGTTCCATGGAATGTAAATCTCTTATGGTTGAACTTGGACAATCAGGGTTGAAACCTAGTATGGTTAAAAAGGCTATTAATGCAATGAAAACCTCAAATGAAGCCGATGTTACTTCAAAGCAATGTGTTGATGTCTTATTCGAGCAACGAAAACAACATAAAGGAAAAGAGTTTTATGGACTTATAAAACATTTTCAAGATAAAACATTAGTTGATAATGACCAGTATTTTGTCGTGGATTTGTGCGATGATGGGTGTCCTAAAAACATTTTCTGGGCTGATGGAAGATCACGAGATGCCTATACAAAGTTTGGAGATGTTGTTGTCTTTGATGTCACTTATATGACAAACAAATTCAAGATGCCTTTTGCTCCCTTTACTGGGGTGAATCATCATGGACAATCTATACTTTTTGGTGGAGCATTACTAGAAAATGAAAAGGAGGAAACATTTGAATGGTTATTTGAGCATTTCCTCAAATGTATGTTTAACAAATATCCAAAAGCAATTATTACTGATCAAGACAAAGCTATGGGAAATTCAATAAAAAGAGTTTTTCCAAACACTCGTCATCGTTTTTGTGAATGGCATATCAAGAAGCATGAACCGAAACACCTCCACCCTTATGTTTCCCGTTATAGTGATTTTCAACAATCATATAGAGAATGGGTAAACAGTGAAACCATTGAAGAATTTGAAGCCACGTGGGAAGTTATACGTTGCAAATACAAACTAGAAAGTAATTGTTGGATAAGTGGCATGTATAATCAACGGATGCATTGGGTTAATGCTTACTTTAAGGATATTTTTTTGGTTGGTATGTCCACAACTGGACGAAGTGAGAGTATTAATTCATTTTTTGATGGATTTGTTAACTCAAGTACTATGTTGAATGAATTTGTAGTGCAATTTGACAAAGCAGTTGTGTCACGAAGGGCGGCCGAAGAAGATGAAGATTTCAAGACTATGAATTCGAGGTCGGTTCTGTCCTCAGTACATCCAATTGAAGCAAAAGCAGGTGAGTGTTATACCCGAAAGATTTTTGATATTTTTAAAAAAGAATGGATAGAAGCTAATAATAATTTAACTCACGAGACACTAAGCAAAAGTACAGAAGAAAGCAAATATCAAGTTGGGAGACTAGATGTTGATAAAACATATTGGCGTATTGTTACTTTTCGTTATTTGAATCAAGTCAACATCACATGTTCGTGTGCTAAGTATGAGACACATTGAATTTTATGCAAGCATAGTCTGTATGTGATGAAGAAGAGGCATGTTCAAACACTCCCCAATCATTATATTTTACCTCGGTGGACCCTTAATGCTAGGTACAAGGTAGGTAATGTTAGCATCGAACTCGGAGATATGAATACTGAAAATGAAGTTAGTACTTTCACATTATGGTGTGTCCGTTCAAATTTTAATAAATTAATTGAACAAGCAAGAGACTCCCCTTCGGAGATACAGAAACTTAATACGTTATTGATAAGTCTTTTAGAGGATCAAGTAGTACGAAAGAAATCTATATCTTTTGAGAATGCATCTCAAGGTTCTTGTATGGGAATTTCGCAAGTAGATATGATGCCACAGTTATCTATCCGTGATCCTCTTGGTCCAACTACTACAAAAGGGCATCCTAAAGTTGCTAGTAGAATCAAGTCTCCTTTAGAAGCCCCCAAAAAGCGAACGTGCTCTTACTGTCAAGGATTGGGTCATTACGCTAGTAGTTGTTCAAAAAGAAAGGTACTTATAATAATAATAATTACTATTCATGATTTTAGAAGTATGATAATTATAATAACTATTTTTTTCATGTATCAGGCAGATGAATCGATACATGAGAAAGAAAAATGAGATGTGTTGTTTTTGTGAGCAAAAGAAAAAGCCATATGCTTCTTCATATATTTGACATTCTTTTTTGATTTATGATGTATGAATAATCTTGATATTTTTTATGTTTCTTAACATTTTTTATGTTTTCGAATGAAAATTGTTGATTACTTCTGATTTGTCTGTTTAAAATTGATTGTTGGTTGTTATTATGGGATAAAAATGAATGTGTGATGCTAATATTGGTAAACAACGAAAGTATGATGCTATTGCGGGTTAAAAGTGAAAATATACAACCACAATAGGTTAAAAGTTGTATTAGGATGCTAATATGGGTTAAAAATGAAAATATTCAGCCATTATGGTTTAAAAATGAAAATATACAACCATAATGGGTTAATGGTGATATTAGGATGTTAATATGGGTTAAAAATGCAAATATTCGGCTATTATGGGTTAAAAGTCAAAACATACAACCATTGTGGGTTAAAATTGAAAATATACAGCCATAATGGGTTAAAAGTGATATTAAGATGCTAATATGGGTTAAAAATGAAAATATTCAGCCATTATGGGTTAAAAGTAAAAATATACAACCATTATGGGTTAAAAGTGAAAATATACAACCATAATGGGTTAAAAGTGATATTAGGATGTTAATATGGGTTAAAAATGAAAATATTCAGTGTTATGGGTTAAAAGTGAAAATATACAACCATTATGGGTTAAAAGTAAAAGTAGGATGTCATTATGTGTTAACAATAAAAATAAAAATAAAAGCTGGATGTTGTGATTGGTTAAAAATAAAATTGTATCCATGAAAAAAAAATAAAGAAAGTCAATTTTGTCCCTATTAGACCTAAACAAGCGAACTATTATTTGTGCACACCAACGAATGATACATATTGCATAGACAAATGTGTTTAGTGAGGCATGTACAAAACACAGTGACTAAATACAACCAAATAGGAAATCTGGAAAATAATTAAAAATCTGGAAACTAGGAACGTCAACAAAAAACTCAAATTTTATTAAGAAACATATCAATATCCATAAACAAAAAAAATCAAAAAAGTAGTATTACAAACACATTACTTTTACCAATCATATTACCAACAAAACATTAGAAATAAAAACATAAAAGGTAAACTAAAATCTCTAAAAGCAACATTGGTGAGGAAAGTTAAACTTGATAAAATCTTGAACTACAGTTTGGCTTCCTTTCAGTGTCATAATTTTTAGCTCCCATTTCAACTGCTAATAGAATTAGAAGATTTAAATTCTTATCTTTGGTACCCTCTTCAGCTTCATTACTGCTCTTTTCATTGTCAGAATAACCTAAATTCAGTTTGTTTTCAGGAGTTTGATGAGAGTTTTCACCATCACTTTAGGGTTGTCATCCAACATCATATTTGTGATATAATGTTGTTGAAATGGCATTACTGCATTGTTTATGAGTGGTTATCTTCTGAAATAACGCTCCATTTTGGTTTTGTAGTTCCTGGTAAACCTGAAACAAAAAAAAATTAAAAAAAAAATATCAAGAATCGAACAGGACGTGCGATGATGAGATAACATGACTAGACAAAAATTACAACTTTTTTTTACACCAACAAAAAAGGAGGAACAATGTGGGACTGAGGCAGTGTCGGATTGCTTCTTACCTCTTCCCTAATGTGACTTGATTTTCAGGGAGTATGACTTTGTTCATTTTGGACACTGAATAGGAGTCCGTGCTTTTGCTTTAAAGTAGTAAACTTGTTCAAAATAATGAAGGAGTGACATGTAATACTTGTGCAAGATAAAAGAAGCCATTGTGAAAAGTCATACAAATGGAGAATATGAACAAGTTACACGTCGACCAAGGGCACAAAGCGTAAATTCACGTTTTGAGTGATAACACCCTTTCTCATAACAACATATGCTTTTTAAGCCATTTTGAGAAAAAAGTTCACTGGTGCATTTAATCAAACACCTGGTGATCAGATAACTCATTCTAATGAAATAAGTAAAAAAAATGGGAATCAATCTAATGTAATCTCACCTGATGCGCAGGTGGAGCAAATTGAAAAACATAAAATTGAAAAATGCCTCAATTTGTCACATGATTAATCATAGTTGAATTCACAATCTTAGTTGGATACAAAGTGGAATTGAACGAATCTGGTTGGATAAAGAGTGAAATTGATGAATTTGTTGGACAAGCAAGCAACGAGATCGATGGATGTTAAAGAGTACACAAATTCTTGAAATAGTGAGGCTCGATTGAAAGATTCTTCGAACCAACTTGAAGCCACAGGAAGCTCTTTCTTTTTTCGATACTGATCAATAATCGGATTTTAAATGTGGCTGAGAATATCCGGATTTCGATGGTGAAGGCTTGCGAAACGGACGACGATGCGAGGTTTGTTTTGGGGTTTTTGGTGAACCCATTCCCAGGAACCATCGTCGTGGACGGGTGAAGATCACGAATATGTTCCTCTTTGAATCTGAGAAATAAAACAAAAAAAATGTTTGTGGGGTTAATCAGAAACTCGATGTCTATAAAATAAAAAGATAAAGGAAACGACACCGTATTATATATCGGGTACCTAAGCTTATGTCCTGCTGGGAGGTATACTCACTTTTCCCATATATATATATATATATATATATATATATATATATATATATATATATATATATATATATATATATATATGCTAATGGTCCATTTTTTTCTTTTTTATTAATTAAGGATAGTAGAGTGGTTGACAGTAACGGTAACGTGTTCTCTGTCTGATTCCACCGCCAATTTAACCAAGAACAATGGGATTAGTGTGCATATCCACCGCTTCATTCCTTGGAATTATACAAACCCACTATTGATCTTTGTTAATCTTCTTTCTCTCTATTCTGATCAAAAATCCCTAAAATCATCCCAATTCCATCTCATCTTCGTATCTGCATATCAGATGGTTCTTCATTCCTTGGAAATATACGAACCCACCTGCTCGTCTCGTGTACGCCCAATGTATATACCAATAGACCAACCTTTTCAGATTAGTCAATCTTCAATACACGCATTGCATGAATTTTGACTCCTCCAACTTGCTTCATAGATTCTCTTGCCGATGGAGTTATATTACTTCTATTGGTTAAAAATTTGGCGATTTCATTTTGTCCAGATTTGATTTTTTATCATTCTATGAAAAAGCTGCCCTTTTAAGCCCTAATTTGCACTTCAGAACCAATCAGATGGTCTTCTAAAGCGTTTAGTGTGCTACATTTCCTTACTCTGCGATAGTATTCATCGACTCTAGATTTGGGTGTGTGCTCTTCAATTTGTTTCCCAAACTCTCTCCTGTATCTCCTTAAAAGGCTCTAATTTTCCAAAATACTTTCGATGATAATGTTTTCTTTTTCAATTTCTTCATTTTTCTCTTCTCTTTTTTCTTGGTTACGCTTCAAATCGTCACCAAACGACACCAATATCTTCTTCTCGTTTATTTATGTGGTTCGTTTGTTTTATTTGGGCGTCTATGTGTTGAATATACAAAAATCAACCCATTTTTAGGTAAATGTGTCGAAATATTTTAAAGATGTTTACCAACCATGTCTATACTGATTGGTCATTTATTGTAGGAGATTCAGAGAAAAAAAACTTCAATTGAAGATTTCTCATACGCAGGTTCCATTAGAGGTAATATAGTCTCATCATATACTGTTTCAAGTGCTATATAAAGCCTTGGTATTTGCAATTATAAGTTGGAGATATCGATAGGGTAAAAGTATTGAAGCATGACCTCATCACGAATGATGTTCTGTATGCTATTTTCTTATTTGATTTAGTTGGTTTTTTATTCTCGATTTTGAAGCCCAGTAAAACCTTAATTGAATTATGCCCACCGAGTTTTTGTTAAAATGCCAAATATATATTTTTGATCTGTTATATAAATATGTTTTTACTCTACGTTTTTCGTGTACATTAATTTATTAAAAAAAGGTTTTATTGTCAGGTTTTTCAACTGTTATATCATTGTTTTTTTACTCTATCCCATTTATTGCTAAGTAAGGAACACCTCGCAGTAGAAGCAGCTGCAACCATGGCTGATAAGTATGGAATTCAAGTCCGGAAATCTTTCAAGACAAGACCACCAACACCATGACAAGATGAGAAGAAGCCATGACTCGTTTTTGTCTTTCAGCAAGGGAATATTTTGAGACTCAAAGGTTCTTTTGGTTTGGTGGCCTAGGTTAAGACCATGTCGCGAGTCGAGTATGTGATGCAATTTTGAGAAGATCTGGCGTATCTGAGGAGGATCGAGATGTTTCTGATTTGGAAAGGATATTTCTATTGATATGTTGAGTTTAACAAAGCTATTATTTGAGCATATGTAAGGGATTCTTTAAGCTTCATAGGAGGATAAAGTTGTGGATAAATTCTTCTAATGCAAGTTTTGGTCGCAAGAAGTTCATTTTGTAAGGTGCCTCATTAATCCAATGGTATTATGATTGATTTCATTAAGAATAAGGCAGCAATGTTGGGGAAAGGAAAGTTTATGAGGTATCCATCTGAGGTTCAGGGTTTTTTGTATGATTATTTGGTCATTATCCAAAGGATAGTAATATGATATGTTGCATTCTGAGAGTCAGGTTTGGTATGTATCTGGTTGATCCGGTCTGAGGCTTTGATGTGGTAGACGCCAATAGATGATGGTTTGAACTGTAAGTGGGGGAAAATTGGGTATTCTGCTTGGAGGATCATCAGTCGATTTGATTTTATGGTTTCAGCATAATGGGTCAGAGGAATTTGCTATGTAGGTATACTAGATATGTGGTTCAGGATTACTGCGGCATAAGAGACGGAAGGTGGGCTACCATCAAAGTGCTAAGAGTTTGGAAGTTTCTTTTTGCGTTCTCAAGGATTCTTCAAAATTCTACATGGTTACAAAGTAATTAAGGTTTGGTTAGACAGTGAGCATAAAGTTAGTTGCCATCAGATTTATGTGTTCAGGGATGCGTGGGTTGTACTCACATTGAAA